TGCTGAACCAGACCCTAACCATGGTTACTCATGTAGGATCTGGTTCCCTGTGCTATGGAGCCAACACTCCTCTGCTTTCTCCAAGTATGTCACATCTAGAAAATTATTCACTTTTCTTTCCGAAGTAAAAGGAAATCATGCACATCTTTGACAGACCAGGATTCTCAGCTATAAAGACATTTGAGCAAAACACCCCATTGCCCAGAGTCTTAGCACATTTTCATTGACGCTGATCATTTCCTGAAGAGTAAGGCTGCTTCCAGGATGGGCTGGGCCTGCCTGTGATGGCTAGACAGATGAGGCTGGCAACTCCCATGCTCCAGATGCCCTATTTCCACTGTTAGTGAAATTAGTCTATAGGCCATTCAAACTCTGATTCCATCCCCAAAATTTTACTTGGACAACAGATTAAGAAGACAAAAAATTTTTTAAACTTTTTCACTAACATCAGTTGATGACTCACAGACTTTATATTATTGAGAATCCTGGGGAAATTACCTATCTGGATAGATGAGTTTAGTTAAATATCGCACAGGAAATCACCTTAACTCCAATTACCTCTTGTGTCGTTTCTTTTTGTTTGTTTTTAAGACTTTTAAGTAGTAATTACAAGGAAGTTAGTATGTATTAGGCCAGTCCCACAGTGTAATGGTTAAAGGAGCCAAATCTCACATGACTGATCATGGGTCAAATCTCGGCTCTGATGACTTGAAGAAAACATGCCAGACAAAAGATTAAGAATATAAAAAGTGATAAGTGTTGGTGGGGATGTGGTGAGAAGGGAACCCTCCTACACTGTTGGTGGGAATGTAAACTAGTTCAACCACTGTGGAGAACAATATGGAGGTTCCTCAAAGATCTACAAATAGAACTACTATTTGATCCAGCAATCCCACTTCTGGGTATCTACCCAAAAGACAGGAGAACGCTCAGTCAGAAAAGTGCTTGCACATCCATGTTTATTGCAGCATTATTCACAATTGCCAAGACATGGAACCAACCTAAATGTCCATAAACTGATGAATGGATTGGAAAAGTGTGGTATATATACTCTATAGAATACTACTCAGCCATAAAAAATAACAAGACCCTGGAATTTGATAGAAAATGGTCAGATATGGAGGATCTATTGCTGAGTGAAGTAAGCCAGGCTATGAAAGAAAGATATTGTATGTATCCACTCAATATATACCGACTATCCGCACTCTATGGTAGAGAGCAAAAAATTGGAGGACATAAAAGCAGTGAAGGTACTTAATGAGAATAGGACAGTGTGGAATGGGGGAAGTGAAGAGAAGAGGATAGAGAAAAATAGTAAGTGAACAATAGAGAGGCAGGACTTTAGTGAAAAACAGATATGGCTTATTAACTGTTGATGATGACATGTATAGTATTCTCAACTGGATTGGTCTGAGAAGTATTTCATGATGGGCAAAGTATTTTTACAAGCAAAATGAGAAATAGCGATTGACTGTTTTAAAAAATAATTAGAATAATAAAAATAATGATTGGGGAAAACATAGAAAAGATATTGAATGTTGAAGTGGGGAATTAATGTACTGACTGACATATATGGCATTCCCTTTTGAAAAAACAATGTAATACACTGTAAAGTTATATGTAATCCAATGTAATATAAAGAAGATTATGATGATAATAAAAAAAAATAAAAGGAGAAAAAAAAAAGAAAGAAAACATGCCAGACATATGTCTGTGGGTGCCCAAAATCCTAATAGGATAGAGAAATGAACGAAAAAGATTGCAACATGACCACACCTCACTGGGGGGCGAAGGGTGCCTACACTCTCTCCGTCTCTGACCAGCACATGTTCCCTCTGGCAATAGGAAAAAAAAGTTAGCATGAGGTATCTTAAATAAGTTATTTAATTCTTACTTGAAAATAGGGTCATCATAGAGTAATATTGCAAAGCACAAACATCTTTGAGGCCCAGTGAGCCGGTTAATAGTTGCCCCATCACCAGTGGGGCCCCCTCAGAGACAATTTTGTACCTTGGGCTTCTCCCTTCTCATCTGTTGGTCCTTTGTGCTATTCTCCTCACAGAAGTTTCAATTCCTCCATTCTCATTGGTTTCCTTTAAACTGTGGTGGCTTTGGAAGCCAGCCAGCCACTTGTCAGAATAGGTTACTGTAAGAGGAATCTGGATCCAGGTGGGGTCCTACTCAGGCTGCTGTGACCATGTGCTTCCCTTATCCTAAGCTGCCTTTCAGATCCCCAAGGAATGGTCAACCTTATATGATGTGTCAATCAAGACACAGATGTAGGACCAGAGCTAGAACCAGAAAACTTCAAGATCAGAGATGCTAAGTAAGAGTTAGACTCCACACACAGAGCAGACTCACTGCCCTCAGACCTCATGCTCATCCCAGCAGCAAGAACATCTGGACTTCTCAGTTCCTACTTCTGCAAGGCATGCTTGATAGCCATACCTGTGTGCCAAAAGCTCTTTGATAAACCCTCTTGACACTAGCCACTACAATGAAGCTTCTATATACCTGGCACTAGGGGCTGCCCTCCAGTACAACCAGAAGATGATGGCAGTCCTGTTTTATAGATGAAGAAACCGAGGCTCTGAAGTTAGACAGTTTCAGAATCACACAGAAACCTTGGTTTTAGTCCATAGTTGTCTGGCTCCTAAGCTCATGCCTTCATCCTCTCGACCCTCAATACTTTACTATGAAAGTTTCAAACACACAAAAAAAACTTGAAAAAAATAATTCAGTGACCTCTCATGCAATTATCTAAATCAATATTTTGCTATATTTGTTTTATCACTCCCTGAACTCTATCTCTCTATTTTTGATGTGTTTCAACCATGTACTTGTTACTGTATGAGTCCCTGATAAAGTGAGCCAGTTGTTTCATACTCACAGATGCATCTTTGCCTCGGTACTTAAATTTTCTCAGCCTCTCTTCAGGAGCATCTAAGGTAGGCATATTGATTAGAAGAAGTAAATCACCTGCAGGCAGGACAATTACAGAAAGATTTTTAGTGCCCAGTGTAGGTTATTATGTTAAAGTTATTGAGCTCTAAGTCCTTAAAGGGCTCACAGAGGAAGAGAGAAAAGACTTAGGAAGTCTGCTTCCATAAGTATCACGGCATCAACTCAGACTAGGAGCCTCTCAATAGCCTGGGGTCCTTGGGGACCAGCTCTGAGGGGACCGGCCTTAGGATATAGTACTAAGGGAAACCTTTTCAAAGGCGTTTTGGCTTAAACTGTGCCTTCAACAACTAGGGAGGCTGCACAGAGGTGTCCAAAGAGTTCTGCACAGGTGCAGAATGGTAAAGAGCCCACCAGGCTGCAAACAAGAAGATGCCTATGTCCTCCCATACCCAATCCACCAACACGTTGAATCATACAGTCTCAACCATTGCTAATTCCTTAAAAGACTGTCTTTACTCAGGTCCAGGCCACCTTCCACCTTTCCCCCACACTACTGCAGTTGCTTCCCTACTGTCTTCCTACCTCCAACACTGTCTTATTTCAATCTGTTTTCTACACATAAGCCATGTGATCTTTTTAAAATTACGTCTTTAATTATTTATTTATTCATTCATTTATTTTAATTTGACCAGAGAAAGAAAGACAGAGAGAAAGTGAGAAAGCAAGCCACCAGGTTCGGGGCTCGAACCGTGGTCAGCCATGTGGGAGTATCTAACACCTTAACTACCACGCCACCTGCTGGCCCCAAGCCATGTGATCTTTTAAAGAAAATAATCTGATCATGTAACTCCTCTGCTTAAAAAGCCTCTCCTAGCTGCCTCCTGAGTATGGAAGAAAATTCGGACTCTACAATGTCCTCTATCCCTACCTCACCTCATCTCCAACAATTCTTTCCTTAATCACTGGTCTCTAGATACTTAGGTATTTAAAGCTTTTTTTTTTTTTCCATGACAGAAATAGGAGAGAGAGACTGAGACAGACACCCCCCAATAGTTCTTCACACTGTGATCCACCCCATTTTCAGCCAGCCCAGACCACAGGCACACTCAGTATATGCAGGAAGGTTTCAGGACCTTTCCTTGTACCTTTCCCACATGGGCCCAAGTTGCATTTCCACTGCACCTCCACCTGGCCCCAACTCTTGGCTTTTGTTATCAAGTATTCCAAGCTCATCCTTCCTTAGGACTTTTGAACAAACTGTTCCTCCTAGAATCTATGTATTGTTGGCTTTTTATTCAGTCGCAGCTCAAGCATCTCCTCTGAAAACTTTTATATAAAAACCTAAATATTTTCCCAGTTTTATTTTCTTCTCTGCTTTAACCATTGTCTGATATTTTATTTATCCCTTTCTCTCCCACTTTCAATCACAACAGGACCATGTGTATCTTAGGTGTGATTCCTCAGCTCCTTCATAGTGCATAGCATATAGTAGGTACTCAAATATTTGCTGAAGGAGGATGGTGGATGATAAGGCCCTCAATTAGAAGAAGTTATTCAAATCAGGCCAAGTTTGGACTCCCTACAAGACAGCAGAGAATATTTCCTACAGGCAAGAAGTGAATATTTGTTTCTGAGCCTACAAGAGGGTCCAGACTACATTACAGAAAATAGAAGACTGGATAAACTTTAAAAACTAATTTAGACATATCATTTTGGAGGAAATAATGTTTCTAAAAGTGAGTTTAGAGCTGAGATTGATGTCACAAGAGAGACGAACTCTATGTGAGATCAGAACAAGGACTGAGTCTCGGTGATGCTCAGATAAGGGCCCAAGAGAGAACAAGAATCCCCAAAGGGGCAAGAGAAAGAAAGAAGCTGCAGGAGAGCATGTCAGCTGAGTCTTAAAGCAGAGGCAGTCTTCATCAGGGTGCCTCAGCCTGCTTTAAGTAGTAGTCTCTTCAGGAGCATGGGAAAGAATAGCATAAACCTTGTCTACAAATCTAAAGGTGGGAAATGCAGATTTCTCCCTGGAATTGCTCAATCTCTCTCCCTCCCCATCTCAGAGGTGGAGAGTGACCCATGGTTCAAACAAAGCTCTCAACCATTCTGTTAGTCATATTGGCCAACTCCCTACCCCCACTGCATGTATACAAAGGGGCCTCAGTGACAAAGTCCTTTAGTTACCGCCTATTTACTAAAAAGAGAACTTCCCAGAAGTTGCCTTAAGAAAAATCACAGGCTTGGGACCAGCAGTTGGCATAATGGCTATGTCGCTGGACTCCCACGTAGTCGACCGCAGTTTGCGTCCCAGACCCGGTGGCTTAAAACTCACACCAGGCGTGTGTGCGTGCATGCCCAAGATCCAGAGAGGAGAATGGAGAAGGGATGGCGGCGTGGCCATCCCCCCTGGGGGGTGATTTCTCGCTTTTTGTCTCTCTGTCTCTCTCTCTGTCTGTCTGTCGAGCGCACCCGCCCTATGGCAAAAAAAAAACTCTCCAAAAAAAAAACAGAAAGAAAAGAAAAATCACTGGCAAAAAAAAAAAACAGAAAGAAAAGAAAAATCACTGGCTTTATTTAGTTCAAGAAAAGTTCAAGCTGGAAGTAGCTTTACTCCCAGAAATACATCAGAAGTCAGCACGTTTAGAACAGGTGAGCTCTATGTTGAGAGACCATCTCAGTACTGGGGCCTCAGACCAGAAAGGAATGATGTCCTAACCTATCATCTACTTTTAAGTAATCGCAAATGCTGCCCCATAAGAAAAGAACTGCTTTTTATGGCTAAATCATTGTTATCAATCAAGGCATCCTTTAAGACACCACCTAAAAACTAGTTTTCTAGTTGCTGGAATGATCGGTACTAAGAAGATCATCTACTGGAATCAGAGATTTGATATTAAATGACAAGTGATCTCCAAGAGTTCAAATGTATGACATTTTATAGATCTGGGGTAGACTAGAATCACGAGCCTATTTCAGGGAGCAATAGCCAAAATGCTTATTATGTGCCAGGAATGCTGGAAACAGGATTAAGTGAAGCAACATCTACTACTAAGGTGAAAATATCCCTATTTTGCAAGTGAAGGAATCATTTCAGATGCCATGTCCTAAAGTTCCCACAGCTGGGACTTCAGCTAGATCTAACTCCTATATCTGTGCTTAGGATCACTAAGCATTGCAGCCATAACAATGCTGCAACATTGTAACAATCTGTAACAAGGTCTGATTAGGAAAGCACCAAGTCGCCACCAGGAGTGACACTTAACACATGTGGGGAGATACTGACAAATAGGAAAGCACCCGTTTTAAACAATGGAAACTACTTGTGAAATACCCTGTAGGCTGTCACTTCTTGCAGCATTTCCCCCACTGTAACTGGTACAGCCATCTCAATTAATGAGATGATGTAAGAGGTCAGTTGGGGGAACCAGGTAGTGGTACACTGGTAACACAACTGGACCCACATGAGAAAGGTCCTGGGCTTGCATCCCAAGACTTCCTTATGCATGCTGAAATGCACATGTGCCCATAATCTAGGCTGGCTGAAGCTGGGGGGTGGAGGGGGGGTGGATCGCATCGTGAAGACCTTGATAGGGATGCCTGTGTGCATCTTTCCTCTCTCTCCTTCTCTGCCTCTAAAAATAAATAAATGAATAGACTTAAAGAGAAACTGAGGCTAGTTTGATACAAAGGGATGAAATGTTTCTGGGGAGACCCAAGGCAGTGCCTAGCTCTAGGACCACTGCCAAGGGAAACATTCATCTTCTATCCTAGAAAGTACAGCTATAAGGAATCACGGAAATGGATCCAGGGGTCCAGGTGTTTGCCACCTCTTTCAAACCAAATAGGAGATGGCCTAAACAGAGCAGCTTAGCTTCAAATGAAGTTCTCCCCTCCCATGAGGTATCTTTAGGGAGCTGTTTGAAAGTCATAGATTTAGCCAAGTGTAGGGACATTCTGCAAAACCAGCTGCACAGCAAATCTTTCTTGCTTCTGCAAGCTTCTCTCGTTAGCTCAGAATGGGCTTCCTTCCCCTCATGTTGCTATTTGCAGCGTCCAGGAGAGCTGGCTGCCCTGCCATTCCTTTACCAGCAGTATGAAAGTGTTGCTTTAGAGACTTTGAGTTATGCACAAAATCAAAGTCAGTATCTTCCTGCATCAATTCTCCAAGTCTGAGAACCAGAAAAGGCGAAACTGGTGATTTAGGCAAACAACACCTATTTAGGGCCTTTCTTTATCCCTAGAGCTCAGTTTCTCCCCACACACTGTGAGACATCCCCCACCCCCAGGATGTCAGGTGGCAGAGGCCCAGCTAAGGGACACTGGCCTTGCTCACAGTCAGTAAGGCTGCCAAACTGCTTTGACCCTTTAGATCCTTTTGGGCAAGGACCCCATGAGGACTTCAAGTCTTATTCATGGTACTGAGTCACTTTCTCTGGTTAGGGCAATTCAGGGCATTTTTATTTTTTTCTATACTTTTCTAGATCTAGCCAAGCTTTTACTGTGAGCCATCTTTCATGAACAGAGAACCGTTTTAAATTAAGACATGTTTCATCATCTAAGACTTGGCTTTTAAAAAGCAGTATTTTTTGGATTTTAAAGTAACACATCCTCATAGCTTAAAAAATGTAAACACTGCAGAAATATATTGAGCATTAACTCCCAATAATCCCAGTCCTCTTCCAAGTTAACCTTTAGAAACTCACAGTCCCACTCTGCATATGCCCAGCCACGCCATACATGTACGGTCATGCCAGTTAGAGAAGACAGTCTGATAGACACGCTGTTTTGTGATGCTTTTCCACTTCACTGTACCTTGGACACTGTTATATTGGTTCATTCGGATAAATACCACTGCCAAACATGTCATCAAAGAAGGATTCGTTTTAAACTAAAATTGCATACTGGGTTAGAGCAAATGAGGCTTATTCCCCAGAAGAGGGAGCTTGAGGAATCCCAGAGACCTGTCTCAGTGCCCAGGTGCCTTGTTCCACAAGCTAGGGCCAGCTGGGTGTGGGGACGCTAGGGAGGGAGATGCCCAGGGACAGAAGGGGAAGCCAGGAAGAGGGCCCAGA